ATTTGTGTCTGACTCAAAGTGTCATCTTCATCCAATATTGTTTGCAATTCGGTGTCTTCAAACTTTTTTGGTGGTTTTCCACGTTCTTTATTTCTCACATCAAAATCATTATCTCTGAACCGTTGAAACCATCTTTTGCATGTTGCTTCTGATAGAGCATGATCACCATATGCCTCGACAAGCATTTGATGCGACTCTGCAGCACTTTTCTTCAAATGAAAACAAAAAATTAATGCTTTCCGCAAATCATCATTTTCTGGTACAAAATTCGACATTTTTAACACGATGAAAAAATATGATGTTGTTTGTTCAATAACTTGATGTAAACTGAATATGTTTGATAGATGTCATAGAAACCAAACAAAACAAAATTAAGGCCCGTTCAAAATAAATGTTCCCTATCGAGACATTTGTATTTTGACGCTCACTTCATACCGGTACACCTGGTATAAACATTAATTAATCAATAGAAAAATAAATTTAGTATACAATGAATAATAAATAAAGGGAATGGAATAATTTCCATTTTCATGGAAATTTCGTTGTCCTCTACAATTTCCATTGGAACTGCATTACATTTAAATTTTACTCGTACATTCCCGGATTCTCCAACTAACTCTTTTAACCACAATTGATCTTCAAATTGTGAATGATGAAAATATTCCAAACAGACACGAGCTACACAAATTAATAATACATTTAATAAATCAATTTGAAATATTTTATTACAATATTATGTGTTAACTACGAGTAAATCATACTAACGAATATATATACTGATTTTAAGGTTAATATTTTCTTTGCATACAATTTTCTTCATCCGGTTTTCCTCATTTTTCGGCCATATTATTATTATTATGTTTCGCAACTTGTTGACTCGACTTTATGTTTCACTTTCGCGGTAAATCTTGAAAAATTCTTTCTGCATCACACAGAGCAAATCGCATAAATGTGCTCACTCCCTTATCTGTGCAGATTTAATCACGTTTATAGCAGTTAACACTTTGAAGCCTTGGCCTTAAAGATAATTTATTAATGGAATCCTGGACAATTTGGATGTCCAGAAGAAGAGGGATAGATATCCGATGTTCTATGAAACATTTGGGTCGACCGAAACTCGAGAATAAGCCGACAGCAGAAACGTATAGAATTAAATAGCCAGACCAGAGTTATACTCGGGCTTCAGCATTGTCGTCTGCGCGCTACTCTGATCTTTACTTGGGCTTAGAACAAAGTGTGTTAATTAAATAGATTGTCATGTGATATGAGTAAAAGTGGAACAGATGAAATAATAATTAACAATAATTTATTGCACCACTCATGATAATCAACATCTTAACCAGTTAACTGTTCCGACCTCTTTAGACAATGCGTATCTAAATTGCGTCGCAAAAATTTAGCGATGACGAGTATACTCGTCAAACACAGAGTATGTGTAATATGAAATTAGGTTGTAATGAAATGACTTTTATTTTTTTATTTCAATACTCACATTTATTTATTTACTTAAATTAACATAAATGTTTTGCATATGAACGAAAAAAAAACATGAAAAATTAATTTCTTACTTTAATTTGCTGTAGGAGAATGGTATTGAGCAAAGCATGATACAATACATAATGGAATTTCACAAGTTGAACGCCAATATCGCGATTCTTTCCGAATATTACTTTTAAAACAACGTGCACACCTTCGTGTAGGATTAGCTTTTGAAGTTGAGGGTACATAATCCGAGAAATGTTTCCCGATTAGACGGGTAGAATCAAGATTAGCTCGTCGACTTACTGTTGGTGTTACACTTTGAATTGGATATAATGTAATTATTTGTTCAATGCATTCCAATAAAAAATTTACTCGCGTCAATTTTCCTCTATTATTTTTATATAATATAAAGGAATTTAAGCAAACAATATCTAAAAAATAAAGAAAAATTTTTTTATAATATTTTTTAAGTCTCTTCCTTGCTGATGAATATGCAATCATTACGCCATCACTCATGTCCACTCCACCCATTTTCTTATTATAGTCAACAACTACTTCAGGTTTCTTTGTTCGTATCCTCCGTTTCTCTATTTCTACCATATTGTCGTCAGTTAGCAGGTAGGTAGTCCACAACTCAATTTGGATGACAACTCGAATCCCGCACACGAGCCATAACAAAACTTTTATTCGTTCCTTTTATTTCGACTTGGCCTCAAAATATTTCAAACGTCTTGAAGTTTACGAATATATTTGTGTTTTCACTAAAATTACAATTTAAACTGCAAATTGTCACTACTTATTACTCATGACGAATATACTCGTCATAACACAAAACTTTGTACTTTTTTCATGACGAGTATACTCGTCAAAAACAGTTAACTGGTTAAAATATAAAAAAAACTGTGGGTGACTTACTATTAAGACAGTTTGTCATGCAACATATTTTAATATATCTTACTTAATTCAGCGTACAACGTTATCATACAATATATAGCATACAATGTTATCCCGCTAATACACATGCATGTATGTACTTTATGATGAGGGAAATGTCCTTGTCACGCGAAATTGATAATTCGCTTTGGTGGCACAATTAACACATTAATAAATCTAAGCTCTAATACATATATTAATATAACTATTTTGATACGGTATATCCGAAAAACTAATGAACGATATCCTATTAGTTCTTCTGACATATGATATATTCTAAATACAAGATTTAAAATATTAAATAAGTCAGATGACTCAAATGTATCGTATATATCATAAATAAGGAAAATCTTTATTGGCTTATCATACGATTCTGTAACTATTAACGATAAGATCGTTATCGTACTGTTGTAGCATAGGTATATAGCAGAAAAGCTATATATTATTTCCTCACAATCAGGTTTGACTGTGAACGAAATAAAGACGCTGGTAGCTATGCACAAGAATATGAAGTCCGGTGGATCGTTGAACGACCTTAATTTAAGGGCCGTGGAAAACTACCGCGAGTACCTGCGTATACCGTCGGTGCATCCGGATATTAATTACGGTGAACTATAAGAATATTCACGTAAACTAATGACGTTAACGTGAGGGCAAGTTTTCGATAATTTCGGTAAACTTTGAATGTGTTCTTCCAGATAAAAATATTATTTTTCGTAAATTAATGACTGCTATTTTTCGTAATTAATGACTGTAAATTAATGGTAGCTTCATTGACTTTATGAATTATGCAACTCTGAAACTCTGAATAATGCTTGAACGAAAGTACACAGTAATAGTATAACAGTTTTTTTTATACATTTGCAATAAAATTGAAATTGGCACTTTTAGCTCCGCTCTATTTTAATATATCGGAAACCTCTCATATCCCAATTCTGTATAACAAGAAATAATGCATTCAGCGTCTTGTTTTTTTATTTTACAGACGATTGCGTAGCGTTCCTTCTGAGACAGGCGGATTCTCTCCAACTGCCGGTCCACGTTCATCATGTACGTCCCGACAAACCGGTGGTGGTCATCACGTGGGAAGGAACGGACCCGATTAAGCCGTCGATTCTCTTGAACAGTCACATGGATGTAGTGCCAGTTTTCGAGGTACACAGAGCCTATCGAGGATCGATTGATCGATTGTACAATTAGATCATTAAGCATCGTACATCCCTATAAAAATTAACCAATTCCCCAGCCGCTTACTTTCTAAGCGCAACTCATGCGCACGATCGTTTAATTTTTATATATCTGCGATTCTTGCAAATTGATCAGTCATCAACTCGATCGATTGATGCATCTAGCATGAATGGACTTATCCGCCGTTCGACGCGCACATGGACGAGCAGGGCAACATTTACGCTCGCGGCGCTCAGGACACGAAAGTCCTGGGGATACAATACCTGGAGGCGATTCACAGACTCAAGCTGAACGGTCAACGTCTCTCGCGGACTGTCCACGTTTCTTTTGTGCCGGACGAGGAGATCGGCGGAGAACTCGGGATGAAGAAGTACGTGCGTAGCGAACACTTCAAGTCTCTGAACGTTGGCTTCGCGCTGGACGAGAACGTGAGCTCTTCTACTCCAACCTTCGTCGTTGCCTTCGATGAAAAGATAAAGTTGGGCCTGATGATAAAGTGCAAAGGTACTACCGGCCATGGCTCGCTCATGTTGGACAATACGGCCGGAGAAAAAATAAGAATCATCATTGATCGTTTTATGGACTTCAGAGCGACTGAGAAAACCAAGTTGCAGAATGTCGACATCAGTTACGTGACGTCTGTGAATCTTACAGTCCTCAAGGTTAGTATTGCGCGATTGTATATTCTCTAGATTTCTTGGAGTGAAATCTCGCTCGAGAAGTTGAGTAACCACCGAGTCACTCGAATTCGAGTTTTTCACTCGTACAGAGTGAACTCTTCATTCTGAATCGTCGAGTGAATATTTTCACTCGGAATTAAAGAGATCTGCTTAAGCGCAGCGCTAAGCGCGCTTACCAAGCAGGTATGTTTATTGAGCGCATTGCTATCGGTATTATTGATTCGCAGCTCTCGAATTCGCTGAATGCACCTCTTTCAGGGTGGTGTGCAGAATAACGTGATACCCGACGAGATAATAGCAGAATTTGACATTCGTCTGCAGCCTACTTACAAACCCGATGAATTTGAGGCTCTTGTTAAACGTTGGTGTGAGGAAGCCGGGCCTGGTGTAACTTATTCCTTCGTTCAGAAAAATCCCCAAATCAAAGGCACAAAGATCGACGATTCTAATCCATTTTGGGTGGCTTTTAAAAATGTCTTTTCTGAAATCGGTAGCGAGCTCAAGCCGATAATTATTTGGGGCACTTCGGATGCTCGCTATTTACGCCAGGTACGTATCGAGTTGCACTTTTGTATTATTCATATTAACGACATAATGAAGATGCATACTTGATCAAATAACCCCGATGGAAATATCGGGAAAATTTCATTGAAATTCTCTCTCAATTGATTCCATTATCGTTCTGTCAATATACGCAGTCTTCAGTTAAATTCGATAGATTTTAATGATATTTAATTTTAACTTTCCTTAATTTGTGTATTGATATACCATAAACTTGATAAACAGTGAGATGAAAGTTACTGAAAAATTATTGAAATAGTATGATGAAAATAGTAAAATGTAATAGTAAATATTTCAAAATAAATCAAAATTTTCATCATGAAATTCAATGTAATGATGTGAAATATTATGAAAATTAAAGTATAATTCTGTGAAATAATGAACGAATTTTTGAAATATTAGATATCATAAAATTTATTGAATTGAAAATTGAAAATTGAAAATCGTATATTAATGAAATGGGGTCAACTGAGGGAGTGTTTCAGCAAAATATTTTCATCGGGAAAGAGACGACGGACTCAGCAAGATGGTTACCGTTTTGTCTTACATAAAATTCAAGTTACTTTTCATGTTTTTGACAGTCTCTTTAACAATGTTCCTTCTATGCTAACTTATCCTACAATGAAACACACTTGAAATGTTTCTGTTTTGCAGTTGAGCATTCCTACTCTAGGTTTCGTACCATTATGCAACACGCCATCCAACGTTCACGGTGCCAATGAATGTGTGAATAAGGACGTGTTCCTGAGAGGAATAGATATATTCACTAAAATAATACCGGCCATCGCAAACGTTTGAATGCAGACGGACTATATGTTATGGAATATATCGGCGATGCTGAATGATATTTTAATAAATCCGGAATGAATCTGGCAGAAACAAATAATTTTTTTCCAATTAGACCATTTATTAGCCATGAAAAAAGGCATTAGGTATCATAAAAGATCTTTCAAAGACGTCCGAAAGATATCTAAAAAAAAAAAATAAAAAATCCATTGTGGACATCTTTTAGAAATTTGGTCCGGTTAAATTCACAGACGGGATTCATCAGTTTTTATCTCTGAAAACCGGCCGATAAAAGGCGACGAAATATCGATAATTGAGTCGATCATTTATCGGTTATCGTTTAAGAAGAGCCACACTGCTCGAGAAGAAAGTCGGACAAGGAGTTGGACAGCGCGACGGTAGGCGGCTACCACGTCGTACCGCCGCGTCATTCGACGCTGTGGATTGGACGACGTGGAGAGGCGAGTAGCCAAGTTGAATCGACGCACAGGCGGCACCAACGTGCCTCGCTCCGTGGTGTCCATGCATCAGCTGGCCATGGCAGTTTTGAATCACCCCTGCGGGCATCGGCGAACACCGCTGATTCGGCCGAGCGTTCATCACGCTGACCGACCCGCGTATATCCCTGTGAAAATTGAGGCCGCATGTACGCGCTGGGAATTCGCAAATTCGGCACGGAAAGCGGGTAAGTGCGAGTGAATCCCGGGCGATCGCACGCAGAAACGCGACGGTGCGTCCCGGGGAGATTCCCGATCGGCGAGCCTTCGGTAACGCGACCGACCGCAGCGATCTCGCCGAGGAACGTGCACGGCGTCACCCGCGCTGTCCAGTTCCGGCATTTTCGTAATCGCACAGCCGACGATATTTACGCGTCCGTGCGTAGTGTCGGAGCACCCTGTCAGTCGAGCGGCGCTCGAAAAGCACCTTTTCCTTATCGATTATTCCGAGTAGCAACGCGCGAATGTCCGAGCATGATGCAACCGGTGCGAAGATACCTGACGCGCGGGTAGTATCAATGACGCCTGCTCGCGGACCAGATTCCGTACGGTGTGTTATTTGCATACCGCTCCGGTGCCCGCGCCCCGGAACGCCGCGTTGGTCCGTTATCTTTCAATTATCGAGTCGACAATACGCTGCATTCTCGTCTGGAAATCGCCTTTGAACGATAAGATTAGCCAGAGAGAGTGAGAAAGAGAGCGCGAGAGAGGGAGGAAGAAGAGTGAGGCCAGGAGGGGAGGTCGAGAATGAGTATGTGTGTGTGTGAGAGAGAGAGAGAGGCGAGAGTTAGTAACGCGCGACAGAAAAGCGAAACCACGCCGACCGCCAGATCGCGAACAGCTCGCTCAACGACACGTTTCCTCGTTAGGTGAATCCGCGCACGGCTCGTTGTTTGAACATGCGGTGAGAGGATCGCAGCCGCCGGGATTCCGCGGACGATGTGCGATCGCGGCGATTTGAAAAAGTTTCTTTTTCCCCGTGGTGTGAGCGAAACGCGATATCATCGCGGCGCGCGAGTAACACGGGAGAGAAGAAAGCGCGCGCCTGGCGTCTCCGGGGAATGCTCCGGCGAAATGACAAGGAACGAGTGAGACACCGGCCGAAGCGGATGTCCGTTTAGGCGCGATATCGATAACGCGAGTACGCTGGCCGCGAGAGAACGCTCTCGAACGCGAGGAAATGGAGATAGCGTCGGTGACGCTACCCATCCATTGCATGCCCCACCCTGCGCGCGAGCTGTTGTATCAAATTCTATCCCGTTTTTCTTTTCCATCGTGCAGTCGCAGCCACTTGGCCGATCTCGCCGACTCCTCCCCGCCCGGATCGTTCTCGAAAGGTCTCCCGGACCAGATCGCTGCGACGATGCTGTGCGCTACGCGACGAGGAAGCCTGACGCTGCGTGACCCAGATTGAGGAGACTCGGTAATGTTCCACTTTCCTCCGTGAATTTCGAATTAATTTCAGTAGAATAGTGTCTCCGAACAGCGGTGGCGGCATTAAATCGACAAATCGTCGATATTTTCCTTATGAGAAAGAAAAGTTGGAAATTGCCAGTAACGTGTAGTTTGTCGGTGGAAATTTGTATCTGTTCTGTAGTGATACCACTCGCGAATGTTAGGCTTGTTAACTTGCGAGATATTATTTTCATGATCAAGCTGAGACCTGGGTTGTTCGATATCACAAAATTGAATCGAGTAAAGCCACTCACGACTTATTAATTGTATGGAACATACATCCTAGTTTTTGTGATCATGAGGTAATTTCTGATCCACCGTTTATAGTCTTTTCATCAGGCTGCTACTATTTATCACTAACAATTCTTAGAACATTAAAAAGATATCATTAACTCCTTTATTTAACATAACTTGCTATTATTTGCATTATAGTAATTTCATTACTTCTGTCATTTCAGATGATACTTGTCGATACAGGCTTATGATACAGGCTTACGTACCTGTCTAGGAAACAATCGTGGACCTAACGTGAATGAAGATGGAACGGACAAAGCTATCGATTCTTTTCAACAGTCACATGGATATTGAGCAGGTATACTCTCTAATATTGGCAAGAATATCGCGAGCATATATCCTGATACTATTTATGCAGAATAAAGTGGTTCTTATCGATCAATCAATTTTACAATTTGTTAATTTATCCAGACAGAATGGGTCTATTTACCGATTGACGCTCACAGCGAATCAGCAAGGCAACATTAGTGCTCATGGGAGACCAAATAGGAGCGCAATATCCAAATGCAATCAGCAGACCCAAATTGAGTGGTCAATGCCTCTTATGTACACACGATACATGAATTTTACAAAATAAATGTAAGTACCATGCTAATGTATTTTGCAAATTGATTTTCACTGTTAGGACATCAAGTCGTATTTGAAAATGTTCATCAACATGACAGCTTTCTCATTTTTTACGTCTTTTCCAGAATGGCATACATGTTAATGTACTCAAAGGCGTCATGAGTGCATTTGACCTTTATTTGGAGTTATTATTCATCACGAAGAATTCGAGGCCTATTCTACATAATCTTTCGTCAGACTTCCTATGATCCCGATATTCAATTGTAGATTTTCACCTGTTATACTCAACTATTCATCACTTGGTAAGCATCAAACTACATTTCATGTTACCTCTTATCTTTCAGACATATTTTCTAATATTTTCTAAAGATATATTACACAAACATATGTATTTCATAAAAAATTTGACAGTTGATATATCAAGTTGAAAAACATGTTGTTAATAAGCAGAAAACTCATAATATGTTCCAAATATACTGTTAGGCTCATTAATTTTTATTTTTCGATAAATTTTTCTTTTGCAGATGGACATTCCAACTCTGAATTTTGCACTGATGAACTGCACCATGAATATCTCGATAATGCAATATCAAGATATCATATATCTTGATAATACTGGCTCTTGCGGATATTCAAACAGGAACTTGCCATACTAATAGCGTGATGATTGAAAAATATCAAAAACAGGCTATCAACAGTTAACTCAGGTTCACTTTTCAAGTGTACAAATGATATACTTGTTATCAGAAGTACCTTGAAATCAAGAACTCACAATTACACGAAACAAGTCAATTTATCCATCATGTTTATGTGCCAACATTATGTAGCTTCAAGTTTTTAATATTGTTGAAAATTCATCGCTTTCAAGAATTTATATATTGAAGAGGATGTATTGTTGAAGAACGTAACGTGAAAGAAGCAAGTATACACAGCTGTGTTAGCTGAATGACTACTGATAAATTAATTGGAGAACATCAATATGTACACAACAGAAAAGAAAAAGCAGACATAACATAATTAAAGGCATCGTATTGCTGACAGGAATAATTTGAAGCAAGGATAGGAATGTAAAGGGGAATACCGGTGTAGAAACAACAGTATAAAACTTCAAAGAATAATTATCCAACACAAAGATATATAAACAATCAAGATTTATATTTTTGAATAAGAAGACGTGAAGAAATGGTGTCTACAGATAAACATAAGCACAATATCAAGATTAAAAGTATATTTTGCAGGAGAAGAATTATTTTGAGGCAACTACTGCACAACATAAAGTAAAACATGTAAGAATCGCTGTGATTGCCTGTGAATATGCCTATATTTGTGCCTATGCTATATTTGTAAAGTAACAGAATCCACAAACATTATTTTCAAGAGAAATGCGTTTATGAGAAATTACAGGAAGATCTTTGCTCACGATCGCAAAGCGTGAAAAAAAAGATCTACTTTTGTACAAGAGAGGTCAGCAAAGGAGATTGACTATTGATTTAAAAGACGGAAGATCTCGAGCCAAAGCTTCGTCTAGAAAAATCATGATGAAGAAAAAGGAAAAGAGGGAGAGACAGAGAGAGAGGGAGAGAAAAAAGGAAGAGGCAGTTGTTTCCTGCGAAGCTTGCTACGAAGAACACGACATCGACGAGCGCGACAAGTGCGGTACACATTTACCTGACCGAAGTCAATAAACCCCAGTGCGCCCATGTATGTATGTGGTGAGTGTGTGTACGTGTGTATATGTGCGTGCTTCCCGCCATTATCGCGCGTATTGTAGTTCATTCTTAACGCGCGGTGCCGCCCGACTCCCCTCCGCGATGGACTCGCCCGTCGTGTTCGCTTCGAAGGAACGGTGACGGTGCCCGGTGATTTCCGCGCCGAAAATCGCCGGCGATTCGGCGGATCGAGCGAAGAATCGCGCGCCGCTTTCGGGCGGCGTGATCTGTCAAAATATCGCGGCATGCACCGCCACGCCGAGTGACTTCTCGTGCGCGCTGTGTTGTGTTTGGGTTCGGCCATTTTCGCGAAGGGGGGTTAGGGTGCAAGTCCTCGCTGTCGATCACCGATCCAGCGTCGGCCGTCAGGAAACGTCGCGGCCACGACAAGTGATCGCGTTGCATAGCGGCACGACCAGCAACGGCGGTGCCTACGTCTCCGGAAGCACCGTGAGAAAATCGCTCGAGAATCCTCCGTCAGCCATGTGCATTGCGGCGCATCGTTCAAAACGTCCTCACACCCCTGCCACGGCCGGCGAATAGAGCGCCCGCTGCCGCGGCCACGTGACCGTGCCCGACCAATCCGCGCGGCGGGATTTGAAATCGTGCGTGGTCTTTGTTCCACGGGCCTGCTGCTCTCGTGTCAACGTTGTGCCTCAGTTCCGTAAAGGGGGCCCCGTGTCTCGGTGTCCGTTTATACATGGTCGCTGCCGAAAATCGCGCGTACCGCTCGTAAATGTATATGTGTGAAAGTGGTGGCGGCGAGGGTGCACGGTGTCTCTGCTCTAACGTCGAATACACGGTAAGATCTGGCGCCGATGTACGCGGCTCCGCATAAATAACCCGCGAAAAAGTGTTGTTGCCCCTACGTCTGTCGCGGATCGTCCGTCCGATCGCTCGCTCGCTCGCCCGCCCGCCGGCGCGCGCGCGCATCCCCCCCCTCCCGTTCCGTGTATGTGTGTGTATATATATATGTTGTGTGTGTGTCATTCTCTTTCTCTGTCTATCTGTGTCCCTCTCTGTTCGTTGTCCATCTGTCAAGAGCCGACCGTATATCGTCGGTGCGAAGCGGATGGACGATCACCGAACCTCTCTTCACCGTTCTCGGTTTCCTCTCTCGCTTTTCAATGTCTTGTCGCGGACGAACTCGAGATCGAGAAGTCACGAAAGAGATAGATAGATAGAGAGAGAGAGAGAGGTACGTACGGTAGTCCGTCTGTCTGTCACAACTCGACGTTTTCTCACGATCGCGTATCGCGCCGCGCATGTCGACGATATTTTCAGTCGATTCGCGGTTATTTTCGCGACAGGCCGTCGATATATACATCATATTTTTTGTACGCGTATCACGCGATTGCACGAGAGTCGCATCGATAGTTTATGGTGCCGGCTCGATCGAGAATATAAACAGGCGGCTGTCTCCCTTGTGTCTAGTCGGTGTGAATGAACGCGGACGTGTAGGCGTGGGAGTACGGCACCGTAAGTTTCGGCGGGAAGAGTGAGACAGCGAGTGTGCGTATGTTGTGTGTGTTTTTTGTGCGGAGAAGTGGAGAAAATTTATTATGCGCTCTGGAATATTCTTAAGTGCCTCGCGCGTAAGCGAATGAATTTGTAAATTCAACAAGTTGCTGATAATAAAAAGTAAATTACGTGAGTGATACGCGCGTGGCGATGAGAGGGGAGAAATTTCGGAAACCCGAGAGAGATAAAGAGAGAAAGAAAGATTCCTCCGAAAGATTTCCCACATGATTGGTACACGTTCAGTTCACTCGATGCTGGCTTGAAATTTTCCGGGACTCAATTATCATTTTCATTACCAGACATTTCCCGACGATCGATTCGTACGAGTGAACCGAAGTTGGAGTTCTGATTAGGCGAATTTCTGAGAGAGAGAGAGAGAGAGAAAAAAAAGAGTGTTAAAGATTCTGGACAATAGGGCGTAACGGGGACGAAAAGAGCGAGGAAGAAAAGGAAAGCTACGATTAACGAGGAAACGAGAGTGATGTAACGGAGAAAAGAAAGAAAGCAAAACGGAAATTGCGGTAGTCTCGATTATCTTCACTGCGGCAGGTACGTTTCTTTTTACAAGCTCTACAGCTAGACAGAGAAGATAAACCGTTTGTTCCTTTTTTTCATCTTGTATCGCAGCTGGTAGTCCAGCGCAAATAGGAGAGAAGGCGCATCGCCTCGGTCTCGATAAGCACGCCAAATCAATATTAGCACGCCGTGGCCCTAATCAAAACACAACGCGATGCTGTACTTGCCACCACTCAGGTGACAACAGCGCGTACATACGAACGCGTTGCATATTAATACGAAGACCGAGCATCGACGCGTTAAATCGCGGCGAAATATTTCGCTTTCATTAATTCGCATCTCCGCCATGAGGAAGGGAAGCGAAACGCATGAATTGTCGCCTGTGACAATTATTTCGACCACACGACTGTAAAGTAACACGTCAGATTGAATCGTCTTCGCTGATAACTCACAGTTCGAGGAAGAGATTCCTGGAGAGGAAGGAGAGCCGCCGGTGTCGACGGAATTGGCGATTTTTCAATTTTCCCACGACGGTATTTCTCAATCATTCTCCGTACATTTCATGCGTGACGCACTTCAACCGAGCTCCATTGTCTCTCACTGTCTCTTGTTACTTTTGTTTCCTTCTTTTTCTTTTTCCAGACCCAATCGCCGTTATACGGCGTTATCGACACGAAGCATGCGTGATCGTCGTCCGCCAATGGTGTAACGCGCGAAACTTTTTCGCGCCAATTCCGCGCGACCACGTGCGTGCGATGACATACGCGTACACACGTCGAGGTGTGCGTACAGAGACGTTCATCGTGCAACGCATAAGCCGTCGAGTATCGGCGCTAAATCCGTCCAATTCTAGGGAATAACGCGCGGACAAAGTCCGCGGGAATTGAACGGCGCCGACGAATTAGAAAGTAAAATAACGCACGAAAGGCGGTGGACGAAATCGACGTTTTTAGCGGCACATTATCGCTTTTCGATGTGGATCTCTCTCTCTCTGTCTGTGAAAATAGAAATCCGAAATTGGCCTGCGAATATCGTCGTCGGGACGAAAAGTACGCGGAGGCACACGACAGGCGCGAACACGAGCCACCGTACGGAAAAATCCCCGCCGAGTAAGAGTCTCCAAATACTTTCTGTTTCGCTGAAAAAGACGATTAATATAAATCCGAAACAATATATAAAACTCTTTCCCTTCACAAAGGTAGCGGCAATGGTGCCGCCTGCGAGCGGCATTAAGGGTTAACGAGCGGTCTGCGCTGGATAAGGGGTGAAGTGAGCGAGACAGAGAGGGAGAGAGCCCGGTGAGTTTTCAAACGGGATCCCGATGAAGAGGGGGTTAGGGTGCCGCCCTGACGAACCCAGGGTGCAACACTCTTGCAGCTAGCGAATGCTGGTCGAAGGGGAGGCAGGATACGAGGGTGGATGACAGAAGGGGTGGGTTGGTGGAACGAGGGGAGAACATATCAGATCGATACTCGGCGAAAAGTATGGGCTGGAGGGGCGCGGGGCGCATTCTCTGTATCTACGGTCGGTCCATCGCAAGATCCGGACCGGAGGCTGCGATTACGCACGCACAGTCTCTATGGGGTGGAATAGCCGAATCAATGGCGAGGAGGGACGGAGGAGGGAACGTTTGTCTCTTTCTTTCTCTCTCTCTCTCTCTCTCTCTCTCTCTCTATATATATATATATATA